AATGTCACTCGTAAATCATAATTCCCATATACCACTGAGTGTAATGTCAATAGTTGTGACAAAAACAACTAGCAAAAAAATTATAATATCATATGCACAACCTAAATGTTTTTTCATACCCATAGTGAAGATTTGATTAAAATGTGATGTTTTTAAAGAAAATTTAAAAAGAATTGTAAACATTCAAATTTTCAAAAAATTGCTCTTTACATTTTTGTAAAAATTCAGAAATTTTAATTTTAAAAAATTCTGGGGCTTCTTTCTCCTCCCTCTGGGCTCCACCCCACTCCCACCTTCTCTTAAAGCATTTTAAAGGGAAGCAGATGAATGCCACAGCTTTTAAGTGGAAACGATGGTCATATAACCCAATTTGTAATTGACAGGTGTGACTTGAAGATGCATATGCATGCAAGGCTCCTTCCAAGGCACTTTTCCTCTGGCTAGGTGCCTGTCAGTAAAAAGAGGTATCAGCAGACCACACAGTTTATGGTATTTCTTCTCACCCATCTTAAAAAGTTGAGAATTATACAATCTGGCGCAGACAGCAGCCAAACTAAACAACTAAACAGTGGCAGCAGCAAAAGAAAATCAAAAGTCACTTTAAGCAATAAGGAAGAAGACCATTCCCTTTGAGCAGGGGTAGGCAACCTTTTTGAGCCGGGGGCCAGTCCTCCGAAGTCCTCCCCTCCACCAGGCCGAAGGGGGGGAAATGGCGGCGTGCGCGCTCATGTGCACATGCGTACCCCCCTCCCACCACGCGCGCAGCCGCAACCGCCTCCACGCATGTCGCGGCCACCATTTTGAATTTCAAAATCGCAGCTGCGACTCGTTTGCGCATGCGCAGTACTCCTGCGCATGCGCAAACGCGTCGTGCCTGCCATTTTTGGAAATCAAAATGGCAGTCGTGGTGTGCACGGCCGCATGGCGGCGGTGGCACGCGGCGGCGGCGGCGGCAGGGATCCACCTGGGCCGGAACTGGCCCACAGGCTGTAGGTTGCCGGCCCCTGCCTTTGAGGAACAAAATTCAGGGGCAGGGAGGAAGCAGTGCCAGTTTAACTCACCAAAGCAAACTTTTCAAACTTTCTCATTTTCTTTGGCAGTGAGAGGCCAGTTGAATCATTGCCCTCATTTGCAAAGTAATCTTGTTTATTGCAAAGAAAGAGGAGGGAGGCAGCCAGCAAATGGAAAAGAAAACCAACAAACAGTACAAGGAGAAAGCTGGGACTCCGAGGCAAGAGAGGGAGATAACATAAAAGGCAAGCCAGAGGAGAAAATCATGGAGACAACATTTTGAGCCT